ATATATAAATATTAATACTAGGGATAATTACTAGGTCAGCCTTCCAGAAGTACTCAAATCAGTATAGAAATGTATACATCTGCACACAAGTTACTTACCAATACGATAGACCACAAGATGAGCCTAACAGAAAGTTGTAATGGACAACGAATGGATTTACAACACAGCCACAACTGCCAATAAAATGGGCTCTATATGAACCAACCTCGTTAGTCCAACTTAAGTTGTATATCACAGTATTCTAGCCACACGCAGACAGACTAACAATCAAAACTAAAATACATCATTCACCGGATGCAACGGATGCTGATACGAACCTTCAGTAGTACGAGTACACCCCGAACCACGCCATGCACAATCAGTGCACAAACGCACGCTAGGCAGATAACCACATCACTACGGTGACACGGTTAAACTGTACAGACCTACGGACAACACGCAGTAGAGTAGAATGCAAACGAACGAAGGTAGGGATGCGTGGTACGCAGGATACGACAACAGGACGATCTAGATACGACAACAGGACGATCTAAATTTGACAACAGGACAATCTAAATACGACAACAGGTCAATCTAAATACGACAACAGGTCACTCTCCCGTACCGAAGCCATGGATGCGGACACCTTGAAAATGGCGGACGGTTTGTCGTTGCTCATGTGGCCCAGCAGTTGCCAATTGCCACTGATATTGAGGTGCACTGCTGCGCCTGTGACGGTCCAAAAACAGAAATTGGGGGCCATCGATGAGCAATTGCCTCAATCGCAAACGACAGATAGGCAGCGCAGTATAACGCATCGTATAAACAGCCAAGAGATATACATCCCACAACGGGAAATAAACTACGTTTTGCACAACTCGGAGCTTAAATAGTATTGATTTGCCGTCAAGAACATCTATGGCCCGTGTGTGGTGTGTGTGTGTGTGTGTTGTAGCAATGAGTGATCTGCGTGGGGGGGGTGTTGTAGCAATGAGCGATCTGCTGGTGTGTGTGTGTGTGTGTGTATGTGTGTGTTTGCAGCAATTTGTGATCTGCTGGTGTGTGTGTGTGTGAGTATATGTCTTGTAGCAATGAGTGATCTGCTGGTGTGTGTGTATGTGTTGTTGCAATGAGTGATTTGCTGGTATGTGTGTGTGTGTGTGCGTATGTGTTGTAGCAATGAGTGATCTGCTGGTGTGTGTGTGTGTGTGTGTGTGTGTATTGTAGCAATGAGTGATCTGCTGGTGTGTGTGTATGGTGTTGTAGCAATGAGTGATCTGCTGGTGTGTGTGTGTGTGTTCTAGCAATGGGAAGACAGTGGTCACACAATGAGTGATCTGCATCGCCACAAAGGCTCAATAGACACGGACTGGTGCGTGTATCACATCCAGTGGTCAGCTGCAGGCACATGCATTCGACACATAGACGTCATGTGCAAAGCTTGGAAGG